AGGAGGAATGAGGCACCACCGTGATAAACATCACTTGCTCGTACCTGCGGTTCTCATTACCGTTGAGTACCCCTGTGGCCGCCTCTAAGCGTGCCGGCGGTGGTCCTGTGGGACACTGTCGCGAGGACTCCTATTTATCATTGTTGCTTGCGATTTGGACTTCGCCTGGGATCATTCGCAGACGCCCACAGGACGATGCAGCGCAGGAGGTTGACGAGGGCAGCTAGGAGGGTAAGTAGCCAAAATGTACCTGAGTATGAGAAAGGCGGGGAATATGGCGATGTTGAGCATGGCGATCATGATGACGATGATGTCGATGACTACAATGACGATGACATCGATGACGGTTACGATGATAATGACGATGATGCCGATTCTGATCAAGATGTTGACGACGAGGATGATGCAACCCGCGCCGTCACTGATATTCGGAGGGGACGTGTTCAGACATGGTAATGGTGATGGCGGTGGTGATGATGATCGCGGTGGTGGTGTCGATGGTGGTGGTGGTGGTGGTGGTGATGATGATGATGATGATGATGATGGTGATGATGAGGTCTCGTGCTCGGGAGGGGCTAACGTTGTCCATTCCTGTCTTCCGTCTGCGTCCCCGTCCTGAGATCGGCCGTAACAGTCATCCGATACACGGGTGTTGTTGTGTGTGCCTTGTTTGCGTGGTTCTGCGTTTACTATAAGCGTACCACTGAGTCGGGCCTGTTCCTCTACAGGAGGAATGTTCAAACATAGTTTCAACACAGTCTTGGGACGATGTTTTTTAAACTATGTACGACCATTTTCTAGTATGTTTTTATTAGTGTGAAGGCCTTACGACTGGTGCTGCCGACCCTGCAGACGACGAAGATGAAAACGAGCGGGGGGGGTAGGAGGCAGAGGAGGAGAAGGAGGAGTGGGGGGGGAAAAGAAAGGGTGGAGGAGGCGGATGAGGGAGGAGGAGGGAGGGGAAGGATGAGGAGAAGGAGCAGGAGGAGGAGGAGGATGAGGAGGAGGAGGAGGAGGAGGAGGAGGGAGGAGGGGAGGTGGAGGGGGAGGAGGAGGAGGAGGAGAGAGAGGAGGAGGAGGAGGAGGGGGAGGAGAGGAGGAGGGGAGGAGGAGGAGGGAGGATGAGAGGAGGAGGAGGAGGAGGAGGAGGAGGGAGGAGGCGTTGTGGCATTCTGGGGTCTTTTGGAATCAGCTTTCCATGGTTTCGGGGGCGCTCGAGGGGGAAACGCATCTGGGCGGCGTCCTTTGGCCGTCTGGGGGCTTCCTTTGGCCGTCCTTAGGCGTTCTTGGGCTGTCTTGTGGGGCTTGGGCCGTCTAGGGGCGCTCTTGCGGATCCGTCGTGGCGACCCCCCCCTCCTCCAGCGCATCTACAGAGGGCAAAAGCCGCAAACGGGGGATGCGAATCTGACTCCCCCGCCCGGGACTCCCGCCCCGCTGGGGGAGGGATAAAGTGAAGGGGCTGCCCATGGTTTGCCTTAATCCCTTGACTTCTCCCCCTGACGACGGGAGAGTGCTCTCTCACCCCCGACGGGGAAGGATAAACAGAGAAGACGTCCCGTCGACGGGACCAGACAGACACCCCACACACGCCGACAGGGTCGGCGGATTTTTCATTTTTCGCCCAAAATCCGCCTGTATGGGGGACATGCCCGACCTAACACTAGTTACATTCAGCATTGCGCCACCTGTGCTCTCTTTGCGTGCCATTGCCATGCCAGCACAGCTTCCTGACGAGGCCCTAGGGCTGAAACGTTACACGAGTACTGAAAAGGCACGGACTTGAGAGCGCCGTTCGAGTCAGGCGTGTTAGAGCCTGTGCCAGCAAGGGAACGGAAGGCGTGCTTGCGGAACTTGCCCATGAGGGTTCATAACACCGTTCCGTCTTGGGATCCTTGTCATTAAGACCTCTGAAGAGTTTGCTCACGTCATCGTTCGCTCTCGTGAGCTCTGACGTTGAGAGTTTTTACGTCACCGTTCTCTCTTGGGAGCCTTGGTGCTAAGAGCTGTTTACACCACCGTGGCTCTTGGGAACCTTGGCGTTCAGAGCTGTGTGCGTCACCGTTCGCTCTTGGGAGCCTTGGCATTCAGAGCTTTCTGCGCCATTGCTCGCTCTTGGGATCCTTAGCGCTCAAAACTTTTCACGTTCTCGTCTCGTGTAGGAAGGGTTTTCCAGACACCTGGCGCTCTTGGGAGCCTTGGCATCAAGGCTGCATCGGTTATTGGCTTGTCGGAGGGAGGGGGTCCCCTGGGGGCGCTTTGGGGTGTCTTGGGCCCTCTGGTGTCGTTCTTGGTCGTCCCTGAGCAAGGTTCCTGGGGAAGAAGATTCTGGGCAGGCTGCATCCTTGTCGCCATGGCTGGATTCGGGGATTCGTCGCTACTGGCTGCATTGTTTTCCGCCCGAGTCCGAGGCGGGGTATCAAGTGTCGGCTTTCGCTCCCGAGGGGGTAGTTGTGTTGTGCCTTCCCTGGCGGCCCGAGGGCCTGGCAAGGGGGGCGCCGTGTCGCTGGCTCCCGTGTGGGCCCGTGGGGATCCCCTGAGGGCCCAAGCACACCTCGTGGTGCTCGGAGTTGGTGTCTGCGAAACGACGAGGGTGCTCCAGGAGGGCGCTTGGCGTACGGTGCTTCGTCTGCGGGCCAAGGGCTCTTGGCTGGCGTCGCCAGCTTCCCCGCCCTCCCTCCCTGGTGGATCTGGTGCGTCGGCTGGCGGGGTCTCGAGGTCTCGGTTGGGTCTCTCGAGCGCCCCTGGCTGGCCGCACCGAGTGCGTTGCCCAACTGTCCGTGCGGGCGCACTGGACCACCCCAGGGGGGAGGCAGCCCACCATAATCTTCGGCTCTCTTAGGCCGTCTTGGGGGGCTTGGCCCGTCTTGGGGCCCTTTTTGGCATTCTTGGCAGCCTTCTGCGGCACTCTGGGGGCTCTCTCGGGGGCCTCTTGGGGCCCTCTGAGGCCCCTCTTGGGGCCCTCTTTCGGAGCCTCCTGGCCCGTCTCGTTGCAATCTCGCAGGCCCTCAGGGCTGTCTTCGGCCGATCCGGCCCGAAAAGGCGAGAACCCAATCAACAATGACACACACCGAAGGTAACTCAATGCGGTTTGCCTCCGCAGGCCCTCGTGGGGGTCGTCTTGGGAGCATGTTGGGCCGTCCTGGGGGGCTTCTTGGGACGACCTGGGGTGCTTGGCCGTCTTGGGGCCCTCTTGGTGCCCCTCTGGCGCCTCATATGACCCCCCCAGCTCTCTCCTGAGCATCTGGGCATAGGTTTTGGGGCCCCCCACTCGACAAAATCCTCGCTGGGGTTCGATCCATCTTCAATCGACTCCCACCAAGGCTCGATCGTCGTCGTCGGCTTCGTCGTCGTCGTCGTCGTCGTCGTCGTCGTCGCCGCCGTCGTCGTCGTCGTCGTCGTCGTCGTCGTCGTCGTCGTCGTCGTCGTCGTCGTCCGCGTCGGCTCTCTTGAGAGCCTCTCGGGCTGGGCCCCTCGCGGGCGTCCCCTGAGGCCCTCTTGGGCCGTCTTGGGGGCCTCTTTCGGGGCCTCCTGGGCTTCGGAGGTTGATGGGCCTCCTACCCAGCGAATTGGCCGTTTTCGGTTCGCGAGAGGGCGTCGCGGCCGTCATTTTTGCGGGTCCAGGTCCGTCGGTTTCGGTCCTAGGCCGCTTTCACTAGAGGGTGGTTCACTAGAGGGAGGTTTGTCCACCGCCGAGGGCTATCTTGGGGCAGTCTCGGAGGCCCTCAGAGCCGCCGTAGGCCGATCTGGACCCGAGACAGCGAGAGAATAACTCCCTGTTTCTGCCTCCTCAGGCTGACTGGGACTCCCTCTTCGGAGGCTTTTGGGCTCTTGGGCCGTCCCGAGGGTCTCTCGGGCCGTCTTGGAGGGCTTCGGCCGTCCTGGAGCCGTCTCGGGGCTTTGTTCGACCTTCTTGGGAACCTCCCATGGCTCTTTTGGGAGCCTCTTGGGCTCCTGTAGGCCACCCTTGGAGCCCTCCTGGGCCGTCTTGGGGGCTCTCTTGGCCCGCGGTCTCCTACGGCACTCTGTGGCCGTCCTGGGGCCCTCCTGGAAGCTTCCTGGCCCTCTTGGCGAGCTCGGGGGCCATCATAGCTTCCCTCGACCGCTCTGGGCCGAAAAGGCGAGAACCCAACGAACCATGACACACCGCAGGAAAATCAACGCACTTGTCTCCGCCAGCCGTCTTGGGGGTCCTCTTGGGAGCAGTTTGGGCCGTCCTGGGGGCCTCTCGGGCCGTCTTGGGAGGCCTGGGCCGTCTCGGGGCCCCCATCGGGGCCCTGTCCGACCCTCTTGGGGGCATCCCGTGGCCGTCTTGGGGCCCCCTTGGGAGCACCTTGCGCCCCTCCATGGGGCAGTTTTGGGAACATCTCCTGGACCGTCTTGGGGGCTCCTGGGCAGTCTTAGATCGGTCTGTCGGGCCCGTTTGGCCGTCTGGGGCCGTGGGGCGCCTTCAAACAACTGTGGACAGTCAGTGCTTTTGGCCTCCTGGGGCCCCCTGGGGGGTCCTCTTGGGGGCCCCTGGGGCCGTCTTGGGCCCACTTGGGCCGTCCTGGTGCCATCTCGTGGCGCTCCTGGCCAGTCTTGGGCTCTCTTGGGGCCCCCTTGGGCCTCTCTTGGGCCGTCTTGGGGGCCTCTTGTCCGCTTTCTGGGGCCCCTTGGGGTTGTGGGGGGCATGTTACGCTGGCCTGGGCGCGCTTGCCCCTTTCCCTGGAAACCCTCCGTAGAGGGCTTCGTCCCACCAGAACGTCATCACTCGTGCCTCGTTCTTTCCGTCACCACAGCCGAGGGCCGCGCGGATTTCCCCGGTCGGCACTGGGCCCCCCTTCCCCACTCGCTTCGCTGGCGCGCGTAGCGCGCTGGGGGCGGCGCCAGAGGCGCCGCCAGGGGAGCGTGAGGAGGGGTCCAGGGGTCGACCCGGGAAATCCGCGCGGACCTGCGACAGTTTGAGCTCATGCAACTTTGGTGGTTGAGTTCAATGCGTGGCGGCGTGGGGTCCCACGGAGGTTGCCCAGATCGTGTACGAGAGCTTGCTGCAGTCCAAGCCAATCCCGATGACGGTCGGCCCGTGCGCGTTGTAGAAGCGCGCCGCGCCGCCCCCCCAAGCCGCCTTGGCCATGACGATGCGAGGGGATGAAGATGAGGAGGGGGAGGAGGAGGTGGAGGAAGAGGAGGAGGCGGAGGCGGCGGAGGAGGGGGAGGAGGAAGATGCTGCTGCTGCTGCTGCTGATGATGATGATGATGATGATGATGATGCTGATGATGATGATGATGATGATGATGATGATGATGATGATGATGATGATGATGATGATGATGATTATGATG